GCCCTCTCGGTTTCCACGGAGTATCATCTGACCATGTGACCAATTAGATCTCCTGGGTGATCCACGAAGAAAAAAAAAAAGCAAATGGATTGAGTCAACTGTTTTGAATTCCGAGAAGGAAAGTAAAAGGAAGGGATCAAATTAAATACTTACTCCGAAGGATAACAGAAGCCGACAAACCAACAATAGGACAGACGTTGGGTTAATGTTGTTTTGCATAGATTGGCGAAGATATAAGAATTGCTTAAAATTTTGGGATAATCCTTTTGAAGCGACAACTGATGCCGAATAAAATTTAAGATTAATTCACAATTCATAATTCACCATTTTGTGGTTATTAATTATTAAAGTTTTCAATTAACACGGCCTCTTATGAGCAAATAATAAAATTAAAATATCTGTAAATATATTTCAAAATATAAAATTTTTATGAAATTTTGAAAATGCGCTATTGAAGCTGATATAAAATTTCATGACGATTGACGAAAATCTGTTTTCATTAATTTTTTAAAATAATATAATATTTATTGATAAACTCAAAAACAATATAATAATTTTCTAGGGCTAATACTTCAATTAATTAACGAGACATTGAGACATTAATTGAAAATTCATTGCGATAAATATAACGAATTACAGTGTCATAAATTTTTGTTTTGACTGTACGTGCAGAACATTCTTAAAATCTGATTTCACGATCATCAAAACGATATAAGTATTCTTTAATTGAAGTAATGAGGGGCATTGAAAGCCTCCAGTGGCTCCGAGTGACAGTGATTTTTTGAAATAATAATCAAAGAACTTTTTGTTGAAAATGCTGAACAAATTAAATCCCTTTGTCAGCTATTCTTTTTGAACTACATACTTCAACGAATTTTAAAATGGACAAAGAAAGATGAAGAAAAGACTAGTTAAAGGAATTAAACGGGATATGATAAATGGTACAGGGACTCATTGAGCTTCATTGATGTCAAGAATCCGAGACAATTAACAACTTCAATCGAAGAATCCTCTTATGGCGAGTCATTAATTTTCTCGGGGAAATAATTACATCATCATTACCTGTACAATATGATCGGCATCAATAGCGATGGGTGAGTGTAATAAATAAAGAGAGTGGATAGTACCGGGAGGAGAGATAAAAAGAGGCAGGTGTGGAACAGGTGATGTATATAAGTTGTTTTAAAACGAGAGAAAGAAAATTGCGACCTGAGGAGTTGCCTGAGGTATCTCTCACCGGGGTCACTGACACAGCTGTTCCCCACCTCCTGGTTTAACTTGAAGTGTTCTTCAGTTCAGGTTCATTCCTCAACCGCAACATGACAAAGAGAACTTGTATTTCGATTAGCCATACAGGAATTCGGGTGTCGAATCATGAATTGACATTTTTTTTTGAATCTGATTGAGTCAGATTCAGATTCAAAGGAATTAGTTGGGAATTTTTTCATCCTTCAATCGCGATTCAATATTTTTAAACAGCTTCATTAGTTCCTGGATTATTTTACGTTGAAAAATAAAAGTACTTGGGGTACTTCAGCCTCTCTCCATCAATTTCAATTTCTCCATTCTGAGGAAATCGTAAAATTCAATGGATAAAAGTTGGTATTATTCGAGGATGTAGGACGTGCATAGCTCACACTGGTTCAATGTCTGAGAATAGAAAAACCGTATTCTGAAGGGTATGAAAGAGGAAAAAAAGAATAAAATTGCGGACTTGGTAAAGCCAAGCACGGAAATCCGTGGCCAGGGAAGAGGTGGAACTATACCTAGGGCTCTTTCGATGTGAACCGAATCTTAAAAAGAGTCTATCCCGTTCTATCAACGAGTTACCACTGAGTGATTCACTGGGAAATGCTGGGAAAACCTGAAGAGGAATATCCAGACGGACATTGCTCATGACGTGACATATTCTCCTCAAACGTTCTCTTATTTCTACCCTTTTTCTCGTTGGGAGAATTTCATTTGGTTGGAATCCCAATATTTTTTGGATCCCTCCGAAATCGCTGAGAAGAATGAAAAAGTGCGACTGATTCGCCATTCGTCAACAATTATTTCATTCAAAAGTAATCAAGATAGGAGTAGCGGAATTCAGACGCGGGGAATTCAAAACCGCTCCCTTAATACTGAATCAAAGTTCCTAATTCTGAATGTCAGAGAATTCTAATTAGTACCAGAACGGTACCTGATCAAAGTTCAGGCATTTCCCTGAATTTCCACTCAGAACAAGAACTCGGGTACGAATTCCCCGGAAAAATAAATTCTTAGATCTGGAAGCGGAAATTTCTCGTGATATCATAAGAGCATGTCGATTCTATCCCATCTCCAATATTTTTTATTTGCAATTAAATTATTTCACGGTCGAACTGATCGGATTTTGTCAAGCTGAACTACTTCAGAAACTTGCTTCTCACGGATCAAAGACCCTCAAGTGACTTGGTTTACGATCAGGCTGTCACGGTTTTGTGGTCTCTCCTCTCAGTCCTTTTGGGTTTGTCGATACTATCGAATCCCCTGCCGTTTGCAGATAGTTTTCAAACATTTCCCTCCCGTTCATGTTGATCTTGGACCTTTCCGGATGCTCCCCAAAAAAAAACTACAAATTCCTACCCAAAACTAGACCTTCATTCCAGAACTAAAAACGCAAATTACGATTCCATATTTTTTGCAATTAAAAATATGCATATTAAAAAAATTCACCGGTGAACCGAAATTAATAATCAATCAATGATAATTATTATCAATTAATATTCTTAAAATTCAAAAGGACGATGAAAATTTATATCGATAAGAATCGAAACTCTCGATAGTCGAAGCCTAAAATCTGTCACACCCATTCCTCACTGGTCATTCGTTGGTCACGACTTATACTCATTTCCACTCATACTTCATCTTTCATTGGCGCGCATGTACTGTACTGTACATAAAATTTTCTCTCATTGACGCGTATGTACTGTCTTGTCCACGAAATTCCTCATGAAGCATATATAAAACATCAGCTATCTAAATTGACTTGAAGATTTTTTAAAATTTGTAGTGCCCGAAAAGTTCAGAGTCTGTCTTATCAGTAATAATAACCAGTAAATTTCATATGAATGCGTTGTTTAAACATTCTGAGGTGTTTCTATGAAATTTCAGGAGTAATTTTTTAACAGTATAATCTTACAGATTAATAATCTGCGACAGAAGACTCAGTGATTCGAAAAATTAGAGAGATTTCAAATCGATAATTTAATAAGTGGAGATGAATTATAATTGAAGAGTCGAGTATAAACTTGGAATAGCAGGAAGAAAATACCACCCCGGAAAAACCAATCGTGAGAAAAGTGAAGTTTGTTATCATGTTGTTCTGTTGATTATTTAAACACCACTCAGTCTCACATAGAATTTAAACTAACGGACTCCTCTCTACCTTGTTAATCCTCAGCTCAGACGAGTTGAATTACCGAGAGATAATTGCTCAGAGTTGGAAGTACATGTGAAACTGTTAGTTTCCTGGTTCAACAGTTCAATGAGGCAGACCTTTTTCCCTGTTTTTCCACCCTTTCGCAACAATAAGTCCTATTACGCGCACGGAGGAAGAAAACGAACTTTCAAACTTTAAAGAAAATAACGGTCACGAGAATAACTTAATGGTCTTGTTGATGGCGGGGCAAAATGGTTGTTGCAAAAAGCAATGTGCAAACTTAAAGTCTCTTTAATTATATAAATAATTAATTTTGATAAGGAAAATTTCTGACAATAAAAAAATTCATATACCCCACGGAAATCGCGGAGAATATAATATATAAAATTATATATCTAGTTAAATGATTCGTGGAGGGGTTAAATCAATTGTTTTTAGTGATATCATTAAATATTCTTTCTGGAATGAAGAGACGATGTGCACCGTTACTTTTAGGCGGTTGCATCGCATTAACCGGTCGACCGAGTGATCCTGATCTCATCTCTCAAGTTCTTCATGTCCTCTTTACAAAACCCCTGTCCCCTTCCTTTTTCCCCCCTTTTCGTCCCCCTTTTTTTTTATTTTTACACTCATTTACTTGAGACATTGCTATCAGTCACGGATCATCTTTCAGTGATAATTTATTTTTATCGCTGCACACATGTTTTTGCATTCGGAGAAGATCTTTTGTCATGGGTCTCGGGTTAATTTGATGGCTGAGGTTTAATTAATGACTTGAAAGGTGAAGAGCAGGAGAAGACACGGTCGTGATAAAGAGTAATTAGTTGAGGAAGTGAGAATAACTGTGTAATGAAATCATTTTTACCGTCTCTTCAAGATTTTAACCAAAAAATTATCGCAATTATTAATTCTGGTTATCGTCGATTTATCTCGAAATGTATCGCTTCCAGGTGAAACCACCAGAAAACATTTTTCATAGATTTTTTAATTCTCCACAAAAAAGATATCTTGCAATTTTCTCCTAAAATCGATACTTCTGTCTACAAATCGATCTTTAAAGGCGCAATGAAATCGCACTTATAATTTATCAAATGAAAAATTGCCCTTCAGAATTTTTATTCCTCTCCCAGCAATTACCGAGCAATTGCATGTCAGGGACCTAGAATTCTTAATTATCACTTGCCTCTAAATTGATAACTAGAGGGAATACAATTTTATGATGCCCACTGTCTAACAATTGCGAGACCAGTGGTTGATAAAAGGAGAAAAAAAAAAATTAACGCCAACTCCAGAGGTAGCTAATTGCAACTCAAGGCCTACTCTATGAATAACACCGTTTGGTCCATATTCCATTGGTACATACCTCTAAAATGCGCATATACATATACAAGGACTTTCTGAGAGGGAATGATTCCCCAACTATAGTGAAAGCCCCCGGGCTAAACCTTGAATATAGAGGTAACTTTGTAATTAGGCCGAGAGAAAAGGGAAAACGTTAATGAAACGAGACATGAAGGTCTTCTCCAGGGAATTTCAATGGCATTTTCACGGAATTATTTTATTTTAATTAGCGTCATAATAATTCATTGAGACTCACCGAAATGTCCACCAGATGTTGAAGCACATTGTGTTCAGCCAGAAGAATGCAGCCAGGAAGAAAAAGTGGGCCATTATTGCTGAAATAGTAAATAAATAATTGATTAGGTCATTTGACGGTCAATGGAATGACAGAATTTAATGACTCGAGTATAAAATTTTGGTTTCATCCTGAAAACTCAAATTCGTCAGTATAATAAAATTCAATTTGTCCACAAATAAATTTTAATGACAATTTTTATCAGATTGTCATTTCTATTTTATTTGGACAACAATAAAAAATTTTGAATTTCACTGAAAATCAAAATTTCCAATTAATTCGAATTAATGAATAATAATTCAATGAATTAACCCACGTAATAATTAAAAAATAATAAAAATTTCCATTAAATAAAAATAAATACCGCGTAATCATTAATACAATAAATGCCTTAATAATTTCATTAATTACTCTACATAAATAATTATGATGTGAAAATTCTAAACAAGTACAAATGGTTGCTGCGAGAAGATTGACGAAAATGTAAACTGAAACTGATGGCAAGAAATGAAAAGCGACAATTCCCAGTGGAAATGTTTTCCTGATTAAAATTTAATAGTGTATGCACAACGTACGTGTGGGCAATGGTAGACGGTAAGATTTGGAAAAGATGAAGGTTAACAGCTCTGTGAAAAATTAATGAAGAGTCTTAAAGGGGAGGCATTCTACCCCCCCAAGGTCTTTTCAAGCGAAGAACGTTTTAGCATTCGCCCCTGGAGTACTCGCTTGATTCCCCTTTATACCGATGTTGTACCGCACAAAAGCCGATCGGTATAGTAATTCAAGGCGTTGTATAAAGCCCACGTCAAAGTTTTCGTTGAGCCAAAACTCCCGGAGCCAGTGGTACCAAAATCTGATGAATAATTCGTGTCGTGACGCGTCTTGCCGAGGAATCGGGCATTTTCATACCGATCTGGCGCTCGTGGTATTTCGACGGGGAATCCCACGAGGGTTTATTGAATTAGTAAAATTGGAATATTGCAAGGGACATACCCATCACTATATCGATGCCGCCATTTCAATTACTCCTTCACAATTATCCTAGTTTCGTCAATAAATCGATATCAAATGATTCTATTCATTTCATCTCTATCTTGAGATCGTCACTCTAATCTAATCAATATGACATTATTCAAGTTTCAAACTCAATTGTTATTAAAAAAACTGACAGACCACTTGAAGAGAGAATTGAATATTTATTTGGTGTAATTAAATATTGAATATTATTATAGCCAATAAAAAATAGAAGACAGAGGAAAATCGGAGTCCAGACATTTTGAGGCATTGTTTTTATCAATTAAATTCTCCACCAAAAAATTGAACCGTTGCTGAAAACCAAACAGCAAGTTTCTTCTTTTTTTGTTGTTTTATAATTGACATTGTCCGCCCCATTTCTAATTTTCTCATTCCTCCCGAGAATCCCATATCCATTTGCATTGTCAGAACAGGGGAACGATGAAAATTGCCCGAGACAGAGAGGGGAGGAAAAATGAAACGAGGGAGTAAAATTCATCGACACCCTTGCCCCATTTTCCCCCACCGATCATAAATCAGGAATGTCGCAAGGGTCTGAACGGTGTAAGGATCAAAAGCTTAATTAACCCTCCGCCATTTTGTAATAAGATGATCGATAAATTAAGATACATATTCACAAATGTTACTTATCATCATTTAAGCTATTATCAAAGCCCTAGTTCCACTTTGTCCGTCCATGTTTTAAATTTATTCAAGAGTTTTATTTAATCGGTTTTCTCGATTTTTTTTTTAATTATGCGAATGTAATTAATTAAAAATGGAGACGGTGGAGGGGATGGCGCGTAAAAACCGACGAAAACCATTGAAATTATCGAACATCAATTTTGATCAGGCGATTTTATCTCGATCGATCGAAATGGCGGGAAAAAATCGGATACTTCTTTAATTCTTCTGTGATCCTGTCAAAAGTTGAATAAAATTGACCAAAAATTTAGGGCGCATTTCCTCTAAATTTTCGTTAAACGACAGTTTTGTACCGAGATAACAGGATAATTGAGAATTTACAAATCTGAATTTAATCTAAATAATATTCAATGAATCTTATATATCTAAAAAAATTACTAATTATTCAGCAAATCGGGAAAAATCCACTTCCCACTCAGAGAAGAAATCAAACCTATAATATAATTTGATATAACCGCCATTTTAACCACCGCTTTTCTAACCAAAATGGCGGATAAGTGGGTAACTCTCCATTTCAATTACATTATCATCGATTTTCACCGCTAAAGCGCGAATTCTCCATGAAACTGCGCCATACTAAAAAAATAAAATAAAAAAATAAATAAAAATAAATATACTTGATTTTTTGACTTTTTGAAAGGAGATTTTAGCCGTTTCCGTTTAACGGGCGATGAAACGAGCCTTCCGGCCATAAAAAAATTAATATAAACAAATAAAAAAAAACAAAATAATAAAATAATAAAATAAAAAAATAAACCATCAGATTCGGCATTCATGTCCTTCATCGATCTGTCAACCGAACCTCACATCGAGGCTATCTATTAATCCATCGATTTTCACTATTTGTTTATTTGTGGGTGATTTTTATTTTCATATCGAGGGGAAAAATACCCTCGGAATTTTTATGGTGAAAGAGCTGGTACTGATCGGCTGAGTGAATAACACGCTTGTAAACACGTTATCGGATACCTACCGGGTATCGACTGTGTGTGCGATCGAACCGTGAAAAAGCACTTGGATGAACTTCTAGGTGCAAACTGTAAATAAAATACTCGAGATACGTTAAAGTATTTTTTTTTAACCAACTATTTCTTTTTCTCTCTTTCTTAATCTGTGGGAAAACGGTTCGAAGGAAAACGTGTCGATTGTTCATTTTTTTACATAGACAGATAAATATATTTATAAATTTTATATTGCCCCTGATGGACGGAAAAATATTTACATTATATTTACATTAATATTTGAATAATTGAAATGGAATCAGCCTCACGTAATAAAAAATTTAAATCGCCACTCCGGAGATTATGGAAATTTTCCGAATTTTCTACGGACCCGTCGGAAATTTCTCAACCGATCATTTACCGGGAATTTATTTTTAGTCCACCGTGATGCATGAGGGATAATACTAAAACTAGCTGATACACCCGATGAACAATTCTCGCTATCTCAATCATCCTGTTAGTCATTGCAGCCTATTTTCTTGACGACTCGAATTATCCGAATAGAATTGGACCCAAAACCCTCGGAATCGCTCCACATTTTACGATTTTTGGCTAAGGCCCAACAAATGTCTCATCCAATTTATATTTTTGTCCTTTCCCGAACACGAATTACTCCCAATTTCCCCTCAAGAATTTCAATTCACTCGTTCATTATCACAATCAATTATATTGAAATTAAATAATCTTGCAATTAATCACAAAATTGATTTCTCTTAAAAATTCAATTATAACAATTCAACTATAATTACAAATTATAATTATTCAAATAATTCAATTGACTTGGTCAGATGTATTTTATTTTTATTTATATTAATAATCTACATCTCGATGGATATAGTTTTTCCTTTCGAATTTTTCCAGTGGATTTTCCATATTAATATCAATTATCAATAATTGAAGCGGGATCGTTTGGATCGGTTGTCTGAAAAAAAATAGAATTCACAGAGGATTAACAGATTTCTGGTTATTATTAAACATCTGGCATTTCTCGTGGTATGAATGTCAGGTGATTCACTTGGATGAGTCTTAAACGAGGTGTAAACTCACCAGCAAGACCCATGACGTACCGACAAACGATTTCGTTCCATTTGCTCCCCAAAAAGGTCACTAAAGTATCACACGAGAAAGAAAGAAGGTTAAAAAATTATCTAAAAAAATAAAAGCAGAAAAGATAAATAATCAATTCCCTTTGTCTGGTTTCTGGTGCTATTCTCCCTAATCCACTTGGCAAATTCATCAAAGGATTCATTTTCTTACAGAGAGAAAAGAAATAAAATGGGGGAAGCAAGAATTATCTGTTTCTCATACTGAATAAAAAGTAAAGTTTTCAATAAGTTGAAATAAAGAAACAGAAAAAAATGGGGGAATGGGCTCTGACGAAGGACTTTTATTACTATGAGAGGCAAAGTCAAAGGGATCTGTCGACTGTGAATTTCCGTGAAAATTCCTCCCCATTTTTCTTTCTTTTCCCCACCGTTGACTCTTTTTTCCCATTGAATTTTTTTTTGTTATTTCTAACCCTTTGTTCTCAACATTCATACGCGAACACAATCATCTCGGGTCATTCTTAACTTCACTATTTGTGTGTTTTGTATTTTTTAAATAAGAGATGAGGGAGAACTGGAGGATGGAGACAGGGTGATGACAATGAATGCTCCCTCACGTGTTTTTGTGAGTTCTTTGAGGTTCAGGGGAGTGTGAAAGGTTGAAGAGCAGATCATCAAATGCTGTGAGTTCAGACAGACCAATCAGAAACGTGACGACACACGTGTGGGTGGAATAATGTGACAAGAGATCCTTCAACTCTCATAATCCTACAATTGGCAGACAGAAGGGCCTCATGTTGACATCCCATTCAATATTTTTTTTAAAAAGGGATGGGAATACCCTGGGGTGACATTAAAAAACCATAAAAATTCCTTCACTTTCTGTCTTCATCACTGTTTCTTCCAATCACTTGGAATCGAAATTTCTAACTCCTCGTCAAATCATCGAAATTTCAATTGAATTAAATTTTCACTTTCATTTTTTCATATTCCTATTTTTCTCCTAATTTAATCCAAAAGTTCCAGGAAAAATTCCCGCTCATTAAAAAATTCAATTGCAACCGATTGGAAAAATCTCAAAAATTTATTCACCCCCTAAAAAATAAAAAATATATTCAATAAAAAACCCGCAATAACCAAAAAAAATTCACAAAAATTCACATTGACATCCCACGCAGAAAAACCCCGTGAAGTGTTCCGTGATTTTCCGAATAAATAACCCCCCTCCCCCTTTTCGGACCCCGCGGGGCAATTGACAAGGGGGCGGAGGGGGA